CTCTCACTCGCTCGCTGTTCGCAACAAACATACATACGACCAGGAAGCCAAGTGTAATGGCAATGCACTCAGGCATGAGCCTTAAATTGTGTTGGTGTTCCTGGACACACATACCTATGCGAATATATTCCTGTGATTTTTGCAGCACTCTCTACTTCCTTGTGTTTGTTTCCTTTGGCGGCAGAGGTGTTAAATGTGTCACGTGCCAGAAAAGTAATTTCACTTTTATAAGCTCACATCTTGGTATGTGACAAAAGAGGACACACTTAAGTTTACACAAAGAAGTGGAACTGGAACTATAGCCCAAAAAGTGAAAAACAAGTTAGTAAATGATGAGCTATAGATGAGAGCCGTCACAAAAACAGTTTGATGGCCAGTCATAAACTTGAGTGTTTGTGCAAAATATCATGAAGAGATTTTAATTTATATGTCACACATCCTACTGTACAGATATATATATATATATATATATATATATATATATATATATATATATATATATATATTTAACACGGAATAACAAATTTGAAACCTGAACAGGACAGTTCAAACATTTGAGTTTCCACGATATTTTGTAATTTCTTCTACATTTCTTAAAGAAAGTTTGTCGTTGATATAAATCTTTATTTACTCAAGGAGTTTCATAACCCAGATACCGCATTTGTATATAGTATATTTTAAAAATATATAGTGTGCAATTTTATATTAAATTTCTTCACGAACTCAATAGTGGGCTTAACTCTTGTTTAGTAAAAATTCTTCAATTTTTTTAAATGTTTTCCAGTGATAGGTATTTTACCCTGATTTCGGAAAAATATTTTTTTCTTGGGGGTCGGACCCGGGACCCCAGATTCAAGACCCCGGACCCGGATATATTTCCCCGGATCCCGGACCAAATTTCCCGATATAGGCAATATAGGTTGGAAAGCTTATGAGAATACCTATCCAACAAGTGGTCACATAATTTTTAAGCGGTCGGAAGTTATAGTCAAATTATAGATTCTTTCAGGTTCAAAAATATCAAAACTTCATATTTATTTTTTGAAATATCTTTATAGGGGCGATAAATTGCTTAATTTAGGACAATGTTTAAAAATATATTTTTAAGCGCCCAAACTTTGACGATTGGATACATCAAATCATATTTGATTAAATACAGATAGTTTTCCCGAATGTCGCTTAATATCTAGGTAATATCTGAACTATGTCACTTTCATCCGATATTTTAAAAGAAGTTTTCTGCAAAATTACCTTTGAATTAAGGGGCTAGCATATTTTTGGGTAATTGGTAAAGATTTAATCAAAGAGTACGTAGGTAATGTGCGTCATAATATATTTTACCAAAATTTTTTTTATTATTTTTGCTTTTAAAGATCTAATAATTTTCCTTAATCTGCATTAAAAAAAAATATATATATTCTACACCACTCATTGTAATTGCCTTTCAAAGCACAGCTGCTTGCTAAACATTTATTTATTATAAAAAAATAATTAAATAGACATACATATATATATTCGCTTTGGTTAAACGTTCAATTTAATTCAAACCTAAAATTGCTATTCTCATATTTTGACTAGGAAAATCTCTTTTAATATAAACGCTAGATTCCATTACAAAGAGAGAAACTCATTTGCATTTATATGCAAATTGTTTTTCATATCCGGGTTTTCGGCTTTCTTTCATCCCTTAAGCTCAGCGCCAAGAACATGCTGCCCACTGCCTTTGTTTTGAAGCTGTAGCTGTTGTTGTTGTTGTTGCTTGCCTTGCAGACCAGACCCCGTCGCCTAAATGATTCATAGTCCAGTACTGTTTTGACCAAATAATTGTCCATAAATATATTCTAGTGGTTTTTGTGGGTGTATGAGCGTCTGCGTGTGTGTGTGTGTGTCCATGGTTGTGGATGATTAACGTCCGAAAACTAAAAACGCATTGGTGTGGGTTCTTAAAGCTATAACATTGAATTTTTAATTAAATAATAGACAATTTAAAAGCCGGATTTGATTGTAATAAAAATTGAATGAATTTAAATATTAAGAAGAGAAAAAAACGGAAAGTAGTCTGATCTTACATTGATATCAGCTGCTTCAAAAGAAAACGCTTTATTAGATTAGGAAGTAAGAAGCGGTAATAAGATGATATATCTTTGTTCTGAATTGCATGAATTACTATAAATGGATTAAGTCTAATTCCTGACATCATATCGCTCTTATGACGAACAAAGTTATAAATCCTCGTTTCCTGATCCTGGCTGAGAATTGTTATGCAATAACAATTCACACTCCTAGACCGAGAATATGTTGCTTTTAACTACTTACCTTATCGAATAACTTAACCAATAACTTAGAATCATTATTAAAGGCTGTAGCCGCAAATATCATTTTAGAAAGTAAAATTATTTACATCAGATCGGTTACCCCATTTTACATATGTTAGTATGTCTATATATTTTACTAGTCACAGCTCAGTTCGATTTATTTGACAAATTTGGCAGATTTTCAAGCTAAGGATGAAAGATATTAACATTTCCTTTGGTCTAATGATATTCGATCATCATTCGATCATTATCTGCAATTCCCAACTTACCGAAAGTTCCTTATATAAGTTGTAATCCCGTAAATTTGTGTTGTTTAAAAATATTCATATTTTGCAAATTTGCCTTATTTTATTTTTCTAATAAGCATACTGTGCCATTTTAGGTATAGCTTTCATATTATTCCACCAGCTAACACTAGTCATTTTTCACAATTTCCGACCAAATAATCTCTTATATTTAGCTTAAAGAAATATTTTCCGTCAATTATGCCAATTAGTGTATAATATAAAGTGTTAAGCTTTTGAGTATTTAAGCGTTTGGGGTTCTCAGATGATATAACTCAACTATTCAGCAGCAATTTACTTATTCCAATCCCGATTCCCAACCAAATGGACCACAATTCAGCATTTGGAATTCTTATCGAAGGAAAATTAAGATCCACGTTATTATATAGGATTTATGCAGCTATTTTGGTCAATTTAGGATTGAGACGCAACTACCATCGCATTATTTACTAATTTGATTTTTTTACTCTTTCAGTCCGAAATCAAAAAACAAAAAGATATTACAAAATACACAATTCTAATAGAAGTTAAACTGAAAAAATGCATGTGACAAACAAGTAAAAAATCACTTAAGGTCGATCGTGCCGAACTTTTAATACTCTCCATCATTTGGACGGAGTTTGAAAAATTTTAAAAAATTCCGCTTAAATTAAAACCGTTATATGGGGGGCTATACGAAGACGAGGGCAATTTGCTGTCATAGTTTGTAATTTTCCGTGAATAATGCCGCTAGAATCATGAAAACGCCAAATAAATGGAGGTATCGTTATGTAGGTGCTACACAATGGCGTGGACCTGCATACGAAATTTTTGTCATCGGCTGCAGTAACAATTACGAATTTAAGATACGAAATTTGAAACTATTCTTGCCTATAATGTCTTTTAAATCATAAAACTACCGAATATTGGAAGATAATACAATTCCGAAATTTAGTACAATTCCGAAAAATAATGACGCTAAAATCATAGAATGTCCAAATGTCTGGAGATACCGTTATATGAGGCGTATACGAAAAGATAGCGTGATGGCAGAGAGGGACAGATAGATAGACATCGCTAAATCGACTTAGAATTTTAAGCTGATCCGGAATATATTTTTCCTAAATACTAATTGTGAGCCAAATCATAATATCTACCCAAATAGAATAATTTTTGGATCAATCTTTGTATTTGTTGAATTGCAAGAGAGAAAATGCAGTCAACAGTCCTGGGGAAAAATAATAATAATAAAATTCCAATTAGCATTGCTGTACTTTTGCTAATAACTTTTTTAGCAAATAATTTGTGAAACATTAAAAAATTTAATTTGCTTTCTGAAGCTTTGTTTACATCGCATCGTGTATACTGTTGCGAGTTTTCACGTAAACAGTTCACTGAAACGATTCCATTCTACCTGTGTGCTTTTGCATTTGTTGTAGCTAAAATTAGCCAACCAAAACAATAAAATACAAAACACGAAACTCGGGACTTCCTCACTGGGTTTCGCCCAAACGAAAGTGCAACGTTAAATGTGGACAAGTGGAAGTATTTATGGGTCATACACCACCACTGCACACACACGCACGCACACATACATACACCGAATTCGATAAGCATCCATACGCATTGTTATAACAGAGCCCAGAGGACTAGAAATAAAGCCACGAACAGGCAAACAAGCGAACGACTAACAATGCCAAGCTCTCAATACAAAATAAATTGAGTTATACCCAGTGAGGGAAACACGACGGAACAATGGAAAACGATGTTTATCTTCGAAAAGAAAACGAAAGTGGAACAAAAAGGAACTGTGGAGAATGCTATCGAGTGGAGACAGGATAATTCGAAGTAGAAATATACAGTGTGAGAGAAAATTCGTGTGTTGGAAAACAGCTGATTGCGGCACAGCTAACGGTAAACGCTTGAAAATGAAACAAAACTTGAAAGAGAAACCATAAGAGTGTTTTCGAAGTAAATATTCAATGAGAGGCGGAAATGAAACATACGCAGTTTCAATACGTGAAGAGATGTATATTTCTCTCTGCCAGCGCCCATTTTTTATTGAGGAAACACAGCATCCGGCGTACAGATGTCGCTTCAACGACCATATAACACATCAAAGAACAAATTTTTTGGATGTTTACGTTATTGAGAGAGATAAAGAAAGAGAGAGAGAGAGTGAGCTGGAGCACGCAATATGTGATGGAATTTTTCAAACATCCTTTATTCGTCCATCCACTTTGTGAGTCAGTCAAAACATTGAAATGTGATTCTTGGTCTCCTCACTCGGACGGATTTTACGCAATTCGGTCGTTTCGCATTGCTCCTGGTGTCTCTGGCACTCGTTGTGTGGGCCACAGCTGAAAATGAAACACATTGAGCTCGTTTATTTTGTCAGATGTTAGTTTGAAAAGTACTTTCGTATGGATCGGTACAGTGAGGTAATTTTTTTCGTTACTAGCGCCAATGTTGAACATATAAAGCTTCACACACAAACACACACCCAGAGTTGAAGGAAAACAATCAAAACAACTGAAGATAATTTGCAAAAGTTGATATGTACAAGCAAAAAATAAAATCAAAAAATAATTCCAAAGTAAATCAAAGAAAAATAATTGTGAATAATAGTATTAAAAAAGGCTTATCGTTACATCCCGTATTATAAAGTTCGCGGTTTCGTTGTCTAATGTAAACAACGCCATAACCGTTTCCAACACAACTTTTTCTTTAGATCGAGTAATAAAATATCCTCTCGTTCGGTATTTGTGAAGTTCTGTGTCCAACTATGGTCGAATATTGTGCGTGTTCTTTGCTAAAAAGTGTTTAATCGAAAATATCCGGATTTAGCACGTTCCTTTCGTAAATTGTTGATGTACTGACAAGGGAGATGTCCGACATAACAATGAAACAATAGTACGGACACAGCCAAAATACCTCAAATCAAATGAACGTTTACATCGCTCCTCATATGTCTCGCCATTGGGGCATGGCATAGTAAGCGCCAATTTGTTGGTAAATATCAAACACCATCACACTGCCGTCAATAACTGCCACCTCTGCAAAAATTTTCCCCACCCCCAACCACCCATTCACGACAATGCTCGTGCGAAAATAAGTGTTACGTTGTAAAAAGCCAAAGAAAAACGTGCACACTAAGCAAAAATAAAATGTTAAGTAAAACAAAAGTACAGCGCGATTAACGAGAGTACAAAGTGAAACGAAATCAGAAGGCATCCCGAGCAAAACTAAGGAGGAGACGCATACAAAAAATTACGAAATAAAATTGTTATAGGTATTTTTCATAACGTGAATTGGATTAGTAATCATCTCTACGAGACGGAAATAGACACACACACATACGCGTAAACGTTAACGCGTAGGGACGAACAAGAATCAAGCCGACATAAGTGTGTTGGTAGGTGATAAAAAAAAAAATAAAAAACTCAACAACAACAACACAAAAGGAGGAACGGCAACTTAATCAACCAAAACGAAGCCGAGATACACGTTTTTGTTTGGCATTAACTTTGATAGCTGTTGCTGAATTCGGAGTTATCATCGCTGCCGAAGGAAGAAGGTAAACATATAGTATGAAATTATGAAAATACACACACACACATTCATATGCACATCCTTGATAATATCGTTTACTCGCTCAAACCCAACAACTGACATAACGCATAAAATATATATTATGGGTTGTTTGTTGGTAACTTAGTGGCATAAAGTTGATCCTTTATTGTACTTTGAATTCCCCCTCCATCCCCCCCAACACCAAGTTTGTCTTTGGAGAGCTCTTAACATTTTATTGACATTAACGTTATGAAATGGCAAACAAAATAAAAAACGTTTGCTCGTTTGCTTAGGCAAACACTTGTCTCATTCGAGTGTTGCTATTTTGAAAATTGAAAGATGAAAGAGTTAAGATTGGCGATAAAAATGTTTCATTCTTTGCGACTTCAATGGGACAAGGGGTTTCATTCGCATGCGAAATCAAATAAAGCACAATCGGTCACTGAAAATCATGCTGCTACCGCTTTGGTGCAGTGAAAATGTTTGCTAATTATTTCAACTAGCTACAGACACATCGCCATTGAAGAAATTAAATGCTTTGATGGACGTGGTAGCACTGCCCTCGTACTATGAAACACATTTAAAATATCCAATTAAGAAACAAAAATGAAAACAAAATTGGATAACAATATAATCAATAAAATAAACCCAACTCTTTTTTGTTGTTCTTTTTGGTAATTGGAAAGATCTATCAAAAGGCATATCATAAAATGTCTCGTTTGAAGTAATTCGAGATTGGTCTAAGCTCATTTTACTAAACAAAATGGCAGTGGAAGTCGAAAATGTTATTGACATTTTGTATACCAAAAGAAGTTTATCATAAACACTTCAATTCTGAGTCTCCAGTAGATCCAAACGAAGTTGGTGCCGAAATATATTTTATCTACTGTTTTCAATAGTCTCTTTGTGTAGGAAACATCTGCGCAAGTAGCTACATAGCTACGATTGAAAAAATATGGTTTTGGATCGTAAAATTTAGTATATGTATACAGATATACGATTTATGTTTAGATTCGCTGTAAAATAAAAGCTTGCTCGGTATAACAGAAAAAACCTGATCGATCGAGTTGTTTATTTAAACGTCATGGCTTCTAAGAGAATTCTTTATAAAAAAGTTGAAACTATTTTAAACGGCTGTAAATATTTAGTTTTGGACTTGGACTCGACGTTTTCTTTTTAAGAATAATAAATGTATGGGTTGTAGGTAAATAAATATTAGACTGTGAAAAATAGGGTTCTAAAAGAAAGTTGCTCTAAGAAGCGGATATTACCTTTTAAACGTCCAAATATATGGAAAAAAAAAATTCCAAAAATTGTTGTACATTTCAAAACCAAAAAAATTGCAATGATTTTTGGTACATAGATAAAAAATATGCTGATTTCAAGTATGTTCGCGTTATTAGGAGTTGTTACAACGCTTATTTTTCCTCTGTCTTCTACCATGAAATAATTGAGACATATGTTCGTTAGATGTTAACTAAATTACCGCTTAAATATCAAAATTTCGCGAGATATACAAAGAAATATGAAATTAACAAAGTTCCTTTCTTCTTGAAAACGAAAAAAATTAAAGTGAAATGCTTGAGTTCATCTTGTTTTTACAAAAGTTCATGCAATAATTGATATATATTTTGTGAAAAAACGATTTTATGACCACCGTAAAATTGGCACAATTTCCACAAAGTGAATTTACTTTTTATGCGCATTGAAATCCATTGATCACTATTAAGTAATACATGATTCTATGCCATTTCAGTGCAATATACCAAGAACCCTAGAAATGCTACCACGCTCAAATTTTAGAAAAAAATGCATTGTATCTCAATATGCGGTAGGGTTTTAAAACATTTAATAGAATTAACAATTAACGGCTCATGTAAATTTTGAATCCAAAAAAAACGTTTGCACGCAATTTTCATTTCGAGAGCAAATTTCCTATAACAATCATCTGCATGAATTATTTATTAAAATATGCGAAATCGCCAGTTAAATAATCATATAATAAGCATTTTAGCAATAAGCTTATTTTTTGGCTTCAAAATGTCTGTATCCGTTTTGGGCGGGAAGGATTATATATTAGTAACTTTATCTCCGAAATGTATTCTTGAATTTTGTCGTTGGTTATTTGGAAAATATAACATTTCGTCACATTTTACTTTTATATTTATACCCTCCACAATAGCATGGAAGGTATATTGGGCTTGTCATTTCGTTTGTAACACCTTAAAATATACATTTTAGATCCCACATGTTTGTGTTGGGTCTGCAGGACTTTTGGTATTGAAAATCAGCTACATATGTCAATATGGGTCTGTGTTTTGGTATGGTCCCCATATAACTGTACCGCCACATATTCGGTATTTTAGAGGCAATGTTTCCAATTTGAAGTAAATATCGTAATGGCTTTGACAAAAATAGTCCCCAATATAACAGCAACTCCCTATAATCGGTGTTCTTATGATTTTATAAATATTATCCAAGAATTTTTTTTTGGTTTTTAGAAAATTTGCCAATTCTTTCCAAATGGGGGGGGTTTGTATTCAAAATTCGGCCGAACTTACTGCTTTTCACTTGTTTACAATAATATGACCACATCTTTCTTCTTAGATATTTTTTATTTCAATACGAATATTCAGACGTATTGATTATAATATGATTTTGGATTAAAAATTTCAAAATAAGCACAAACATGGGTTCAAGTTATTTTAGTTATTTTTCCATTCAATGTGCTGTAATTGAACATTTAAAATTATAAAAGATAGTTGTGCAATTCTATAACTACACAACGAGAAAATATCAACTATTAGTGATGACCGCAAATTAAAAATTTAATATGAATCCGTATGTTTGCCGGTAGCATTAATTAATGTATACTTCTTTTGAGACATACCATAAAGATTGGACATACCATATATCTTATTTATACTTAATATAATGTAAGTACAACTATAACTAATTTACAAAAGAATTGAAATTTTTTTTCGATTTTTTTAGAGTAACAATTATTTAAATAAAATTTGCCCTTCAAAGGAATGGTCTGTCATATTCCAAATATTCGGATATGCGAAGTTTGAAGTTTAATACAAGATATGTATATTCCAAATTGTTATCCTTTTTGGGGGTGGTACTAGAACGATTGGGCCGATATTGTGCATCTTCACACCTGCCCTAGCACCCATGCATATTATAGAATATGCACAAAATCCGAAAACATTTTATTTTTCTATGAGGTAAATTATTTTCTTTGAAAATGTTGACCTTTTGTCAACATAGACCTACATGTCCATTGGAGTACACCGACAATAACATTACGATGTACAAGTTTGGACGAATTCCGATGCTCCCTTCGAAAGTTATCCTGCGTTCCATCTAGACATACGGATGGTCCGCTCTAGATCGACTACAAATGTCCAGAAACAGATTTGGCACAAAGAAACCTAGAGTCGAACCCCGATGATTCCATGAGGCCGTATCAAATGACATATGTCCTATTTAGCCATATGATTAAGTGTGCAAGATATGATTAGGATGTTTAGAAATTTTTAATACGTGGCATGATTTTCGAATGCTTCAGTATTTTTCCAGTAATAAATTGACATTATTCTTGAATAAGCATGACTGTTTTGAAAGAACTAAACATGTATCGAAATAAATTTAGTTGTTATTATTATTTTTCCCAACAATATCCACTTCGGATATAATTTCGCGCAATATACGTACATTATATTTGACACTAAGATCGAAAGTATATTTGTTCATATGAATAAATGTATAAAATGCATAAAATTAACTTTAAATTTATCCAAAGTTAATTTATATTTAAAAGGTGATATTTGTAGCGCTACCATTTTTAATAATTTCAAAATAATATATATTTGGAAATGTTATTCAGTTAAATGTGTTGCAAAACATTCGTACATAACTACATACGTACAGTATGTCGGTTACTTCTAATATTTGTATCAGCTCGATTTTGTATTTGTGCGAATCGAAAACATTTACATCTACATATGTATGTACATGTGCGACGCCCTCATAAATCATTGTCACTGGTGCTCCTGTCGATGTTATTCAATATCAATGGAAAGGACAAAGGAGAGTAACAACAAAAAACCCCAATATAACAATAACAAAAATACAACACACACACAAATAAATTGAAATAATATTACACGAGAACAACAGAACGTCTAATGACACATATGACACAGAAAGAAAAGAACACATGAAAAATAAAAGTAAAATGGAACATCAATACAACGTTATTTGGAATCCAAATGTCACAGGGAATCATCGATCTTTAATATGGCGACGACAAAATATGTAATTGAATATTTCAACGATAATATCTTTAGAATTGAAATCAATTTATTACGTTTTCTTTTTATCGTGCATTGTTCTTAATGAAATTGATCGAAGACAACGCCACTCAAAGGCGAAATGAAATTAAATGTGTTAATGAATGAACGTGGCGAACGATGTGCCAATTATTGAGGACTCTCTGTGAGTTTTTTGTATTTATTAATACAGTTGACTTGGGTGGCTAATGGTATGTTTTTTAAAAATCATACAACATTTGTTTGAGAAACAGAGAAAGTTTAGTTTTTAAATCCATAAGAAATTGTTAAGGTTGGACAAGGCCAATACAAGAAAATACAACAAAAAATAACTATTAGTTAGTAGTTATTTTCTGTGAAGTATGAATAAGTACTTAAACAACATTGTTTAGTGACCATAGTCAATAAAGAAGTTGTTTGCGTTAATTTTTCTTTCAAATGGTAATTTTTTCTTCGAATTTGGTCAATTGACCATAAGTGTTCCATTTACCATTTTAGACATTTTGAGTTATGAGAGATTTTAGTGTTTTTTTATGTTAGTTTTGCGTCATATGTTTTGAATATATATTAAATATTCTTTGTTTTTAAGTTCTGTTATGAATATTTTAATAACATAAGTACTACATAAATCATTTAAAAACCAGAAAGTTGATATAGAAATTTAAAA